AATAATTAATAAGAAAACATTATCACAGTCAAACTGATCAAATATATAAAGTATAAATAATTACGTTAATTATCATTGAAAATATTTCTGACTTACTGAGTTCATGAATTATGATAAAGCTTATCTGTGTATAATCACAATGATAAAAATACTATAGCCCTCAACCAACACGGCGGAAAAGCGGTGTCGCCCCAAGGTTTAAAGATAATAATTATTATCTACAGTATCTATAGTATTATCTATAAACCTTGTTGTCGCCCGCCTGTCCGTGAATTTATGCTAGTTCCCAATCTAGTTTATTATCTATATCTGTAATTCCAGCAAATTTCATTGATATTAGAGAATTAATAATATATATTTAATATGAAATTTTCAATAAAGATATTTATTATTGATACAGTTGATAAAATATCGGGCGTGATCACAACTAAAATAATATAATACGTGATATATAAATTGATAATTATCGTATTCGATAAATTATCAAGGAGATTTAAGAATAGACTCCAGAGGCGCTTTGTCTGTTGTCGAGTTTAACGAAAACATAAAAGAACAATACTATTATTATACACTATACAGATTAAACTCAAAACCCATTATTATTATATTTTATTCAGTTGGACAAAAGATAAAGACATTTAAAAGTTATATTCTCTGTGGTTATATTAGATATTATTTTAACGGAAGTATTCTAGATAAATGACGTTCTTAATGCAGCTACTTTTATTATTAATATTATTATTTATTATGTATTGAGCCATTATGGCATACTTTATTATATTTTTTTTTAATAAGAGGTCGTAATGTCGCATATCATAAAAAGTAATTGTGTAGGTCACCATAACAAAATGGTCGGGAACAACATGTACTTCTATATCCAAATGGCAACGTCGCGAACGGATGCAACACGCTCTGCCGGCCATTTCGTAAAAAGTGTCTAAACACTGAACGTTGACAATAAGAATGTGCATTACTTAAACCATACATATTTTCGTTTTCTGAATTAACTGTGTTACAGTACAAGTATTAAAATATTTTTTATTTCAATGTTTTTTTACTGTACCAAAAAAACGTTTGGATTGCCAAGAAGTGCTGTAACTATTTTCCGTAGATAGGTTCAATTGACAGCAATCGGGCGATGTTTAATGTCGAATTGATCAACGACCACTCTGGGTAACGCATTTATTCGTAATAAGTTTTAAATATTATTTTAATTATTTATTTTACAGTAAAGTTAACGATGTATCAAGTTTGTTGTGTTTCACGTGAATGTTTTCCTTCGCATTATTCTGTGTCTGATTTCATTTTATCTTACGTGGGAAAAATACCTATATAGTTAGTCGATAGTGTTGAAAATTATTAAACAATTATTTTGTGTAATAAATGTATAATTAATTGACCAAAATGTATAATTTGAGGTTAACGAATATTTGGTTTCTAAAATAATTCCATAATTAACAATTAGTTTTCAATTTTTTTTTTTTAAAGTACCTATCTAATGTTTTTAATCTATTTTTCACTATATGATGTGAATTTGTTTTCATTATAAATTTATTGTAAATGAAGACTAAGAAACAAATTTGAGTTAACTTATTAAGTTGTTTTTATTTTAACCATTATATGTAAATTGGGTTTTTAGTAAAGTTAACATCATTTAAAAAAATGAAAATAAATATCAAATTAATGAACATTGAGTTTAAAACATTTAATATTTATACATAACATACATATAGTATATAAATATATAAATAACAAATGTGTTTACAAAAATAAAAATTAATCATTTCGATTCGCGAAAACGTACATACTAGACGAGCAGCTCGCGTTTTACATTTCGACTGTGATATACCTGACGATGTACTTTAATTTGAAACCCGTGTATAATACAATTTTCATAGTACTCCAGGTGACATTAATTCTTTTATTTATTATTTTTTATATTTATTTGCGAGTATTAACAGTATTAATAATTTTGTTTTTACTTTTACTACATAATAACATACATTTTTGATTTGGTATACTTCTGATTAGAAAAAATTTAAAATAAGAATACAAACAGGTACTTTTGGTAATTATTACTTTAGAGGTGTTTTCATAACATATTATATTACCTACTACTTTATCATAAAGATTGATGAAATATAATTTTTTTTATATTTCATATGAATAGCCAAATAAATGTTTATTTTAACTTATGAAAAACCGTCTGCATTTTCGAACAAAATACTCCATTCTCCTTCATTTAATTATTAATAAAATCATTTTAGGGTTATGTATATTGAAGAGCTAAAATATAAACGATTATGTTCAGAATAATATGATGAACCTTGAAAAAGAATCATTCAACCCAAATTGGTTGAATATCACCAACTATACCTAATAAAATTTTATTGTACCTAAATATTTGAAGTAATTACCTTTCAAAAAAAAAAAACAATTTCTTGTTTGTAGCTGTTTGAATTGTATTTTTTCAATAAATTGTAAAACAAGATAATATTTGAATAATATTTTTATTTAATACAATATGTTCAACAGTTTGCAAGATAATTTATATTTCTGGTCTTAAATCAATTAGGTTCTGTATCAATAATAAATAGTTCAACTTAGGTAATAAAACTTATTTTATTTTGGAGTCCTTAAATATTTTCTGTAACAAGTATACATATTTTCGTTTGATTTATTTTTTTTTATAATTATGAAAAAATTTTAAATTTCAACTGTTTCTAATTATTAATCTAATAGGAAAAAAAATGAGAGAAATTAGAATTATTTCATAAATTAAGTTTAATATAAAATCGTATTATTCTTGAATTAAACTGTTACATAATTTGTTTAGGTATATTCAAATTAATGTTTGTAAAATTATTTTTTATTGGTACTAAATTTATTGTAAAAATTAAAGCATTATATATATTATTGACTGCTTTAAGTTTCAAATTTCAATAACTAATAATTATGTTTGTATATCACATTTAGTTATGTTAAATAAATTCTTTAATATTGTTAAAATATTTTTAAAAAAATTTGATTTATCAATTTATAATGGGAAACAGAGTAATAATAGCTACTTAAATAAATGATGTTATTATTTTTTGCAGCAGATGAAATTCAGTAACCCACAACACTCGGGGAATTTCACAGTATTTGAAGAAGAAAGAAATCAAAATAAATTTATTTTTATTAAGTAATAACAATTATTTGGTGTTGTGGTATACTAACCACAATCAATACAAAGAATACACAATATTAACAACAACAGATTCAACCAATAGTGGCAAAATGTCTCAATCGCGGTTCACATTTAATCCACCTACTCGAAGTTTTAATACCGAATGGTTGAATATTTCAGATTTGAAGTATTGGTTATCGCCAGTTGATGGGGATAAAACTAAAGCTTGGTGCAATGTTTGTTCCCGTATGTTTCCTGCAGATTTAAAGGTTTTACATTCACATGGTAAAACCATAACCCATATTACCAGGACTTTAACTCATACTTACATGATTGAAACAACTATCCAAAAATTTGAACAACAGAGAATAAATGAAGCTATGCTTGCGGCAAATTTATCGCATCAGAATGAAACAAATGCTACCGAAAAAATGATTACATCTGAAACAGAAATACAGTCACAACATGGCGATTATCAAAATGAAGGTCCTCATACTTCCAGCTCAAATACTCAATACCAGAACGCAAATTTGGGGTCCATGGTTACTAAACGGAAAAATATCGGTAACATTTAGATTACTACCAATGTCCTGGTCAGAGTTGCAATAATTTTTATTTTTAAAATAAATTAGATATTAATTTTAAAAAATTGTGTAGGTCAAATTGGAAAATTGTTGTTAAGTAAGTAAATTTTAAATATATACCTACTATTAAGGTAGAACCTTAAAATAAGCTTCCCCCGGAGAGCTTTCGTTTCAAGTTCAAAGTATTAACATAATGTTTTTATTAGCTATACTTGTCATAAAAAATTATAAATTCATTAAATTCCTCAGAAAAGTAAACATCTAGGTTAAATCTGAGATCAAATCGGATAATTATAAAATGCAAAAACAATCTACTGATAATGAAGATAATAAAGATTAGTTGCAATAACTTCAAAAAATCAATAGAAAATAAAACACAATACTTATACAAAGTTTCAATTACCAAAAATGTTTAAAAAAAAAAATTAAAGTAAAATAGTCAATTTTTAGTTCTGCCTCTAAAAAAAAAAAAAAAAAAAAAAATATTTATACACAAACTGTAGCTTAGAGGCATACTTATTATTTAAAAAAATATATTAATAATATTGAATATAATAAAAGTAATTGTGTATAACATATTACATGTTTGTTATTGACACTGTATATATTATTTTCACTTATAACTGAAAAATTGCAGTTCTGACTGATTTGAATACATTTTTGTTTTATACAAATATCTTCTTTTCAGATATTATAATTTATATTTTGTGTTATTATTTTTAATCAGACAGTGCTAGTTTTGATGTGGATAAAAAATATGAAGGTGTCCTCTGGGTCAAAGATATTGGTATAATAAACACAGAATTTGTCTTAACTATTAAAATTACATATTTTTTTTTATTTATTTATAGTTTCAAGACGTGCCCCATTCTGGAAAGCTGCAGCTATTGTGCATGGCCATGTAACAGAGTTAAATCTTAATGACTACAATGGCCGTTATTTGGTCTTATTCTTTTATCCTCACAATCCTTTGTATGTTATATTTAAATATTACTTTTAAAGTTCTTTGATTTAAATAATAATATTTTGAGGGTAGGAGGGACTATAGCTTATTAAAAAATAATTCTAGGAATGATAACAAAATCTTTTTTTTTTTTTACATTTGTTTCAATTTAAACAAATATTATTTAAGAGTCATTATTTACTAGAACATATTTTATTTATTTTATGACAATTAAAAATTGTACATATTATGCTTTTAATAATTGGCTCAAGTTTTCCAAGTTATTAATGTTTTTCCATATTAATACTGTGTTTATCTATAATTGTGAACAGAGCTTCACATTTGGATTAGATAAATTATTGCTAGTAATATAACTAAAAGTTCCTTTAACTAATTTAAGTAATTAGGTATTACTGTATTAGTAAGTCAAACAACTTAGTTTCTTTTTTAATAAAAAAAAAAAAAAAAAAAAAATGCCAATGTTACATTAATCCTTCATAGGAATAGTGCTCATATAATAAATTTAACACTTGTATAAATAATTCTAGAATTATGCAGAGTGAAATACTCTCTTTGAGCAATAGAGTATCAGAATTCAGAGCATTAAACACTGAAGTAGTAGCATTTTCTGCGGATTCAGACCATCCACAACAAATACTGTCCGAAATGTTACAACCTGATGGAGAGATTATCCAGCTCAAAATGCCACTTCTTTCAGATCCAGCACATGCCATCACTAAAAAATATGGATGCTATTTACCAGAACTCGGCTATTCTCTCAGGTAATTTAAGTTTGCATGGTTGATTGCATCAATAACTCATCCAATAAAAATATTTGTTTTCAGAGCTCATTATATCATTGATACAAGAGGTATTTTAAGACATGTGACAATTAATGATATGCCTGTGTGTCGAAATATCAGTGAAATATTAAGACTGGTAAAAGCTTTTCAACATAGAGATGAAACCAAAAGGCTATGCCTTGCTGATTGAAAGACAGCCGAACCAACTTATCCTGATTTGTAATAATTAATTTCAATGTAATTAAAAGCATTTCAAAAATAAATAAAGCTATGTTAAGAACTTTTCATTTTAACTATTAAAAAGTTTTTTATGATAAATTAGTAATAATAATATTATTAAATTAATAATTAATAATTAGTATCTAAGTTATAAAATTAATCATATTTAAAATGTAATAACTTTTAATGTAATGATTAAAAATAAATGTTAAAGTGAAACATTATAAGGGCATGTTGCATAGGTTAGGTAAGGTTATTTCTTGAAATGTTAAAATAAATTGAAAAACATTTCAAAACTGTACTACTAGAGTTTCAAATTAAAATACACTTCTGTCCATCATTCATGTAAAAAAAACTTTATTGGAATTATACATTAAATAGTTAGGTTAAAATATATATAAATTAAGTTAGCTTACAAATGTGAGTTAAAGTATTTTCCAATAAATCATTTTGTAACTTGAAAATAAATTTTAATTAGATTATTGATTGTTAATACAAAATGGTTATTATTAAACTAAATATTAATGTGCAAAGTATAATATCTAGATTATTACTTATCATCAGATTAATGATCATACATATTGTTTTATTTGTATTTTGTAAAATTTGTGTTTCTTTAAAAATTAAATTAGACTTTCTTGGTAATAATTTTACTTTATTTACATAAATTATTTAGATTTTGTTAGTTTTTATTTTAAGTTATGTTATAAGTTTAATTGTTAAAAATTTGTTTAAGTAACTATGTTGTTTTTCTCTTTATTGCATTTTATTATATTTATAACTCCTACCTACAGCACAGCCATTGACTATGGTGAATAGACCAATATTAGTGTTTTTTGTGTTTAATCATTGTTAGGTGAAATAAATATATTATTATTATTATTATATAAGATAAGCAGTTAATGTTTACATAGGTGTATTCAAAATCTCAAAATATATGTACCCATTTAGTATTATTTATTTGAAAAGTTGTTTAGTGAATTATAGTAAATATTTAGAATAATCAAATAAAAACTTACAATGTTTTTACTATTGACTTAACTTTTAAATTCATCCAGAACTTAATATTGATACAGCAATGCTGTACAGAATACTAATAGAAATTATATTAAAATTTTACAAACATAATTGTTTAATTATTTACCATTATTAGTTTGTTTTTATAGCAAAATATCATCTGAAAATATTTTATAATTAACATTACCAGAACTCATTCATTGATCAGAATTCATTTATTTGAATTTCGTGTGTAAGTTTTTCTTCCATCTCAATTTACACAGTTAGGACTTATAATTCACTGTGAATATTTATGGTTTGATATAAGTTGAAGTACCATCGCTAACTCTATTTACTTATCGATTTTTACTATTTTAATCGTAATTTTTGAGGGGAACGTTATTATTTTCATAGAAGTTTGTTTCTTGAAGGCATATTATTTATAGGTTTATGCTCTTGTATTATGCGTTCAATAATGTTAACATTTGTGTCATTCATTCAAATTAATTAAGTAGTTATTAAGATAGTATGTACCGACTATACAGTTATTTTCGAACAGGAAAAAAAATATATGTTTAAAAATATTATTATTATTATTAATTATTATACACTATATAATACGAAATGTATGCCGCCCTGACAAAGTGAAAGGCAGTAACCAACAATTTTTCATAAATGAGATTATTGTAGAATATTGTTTATTAAGCTATTTTACATAGATTTGTCTATGTTAAAATGCCATAAAACATCATTTGACCCTTCTAAATGAGCTTGAAAATGTGTAGTATCTTCCAAAATATCACCAAATACTAGACCAGGGGTAGCCACTAATCTTAATTTTGGGAGCCACACATTTATGAAGCTAATTCGTGGCGAGTCACATAGTAAAACGATGTTTATAAAACACATTTTTCATTTTAAATCAAATGAATGGACATTTATTTTTTACACTATACAAAACATTATTATTAATATTATTGTTGTTTTACTTATGAAAAGTGCTCTTTCGAATGTTCATTTTTTTCTGCAAGTTTTTTGAAATCCGGCTGATAATTTGCAAGCGCAGCTCACACAAGTTCACTTAAATGTTCCTAACGGAATTATATATTTATTAATTTTAGTCTAAACTTGGTTCAAGAACCACGCGAAACTGATTTAAGAGCCGTATGTGGCTCACGAACCGCATGGCCACCCCTGTAATAGACAAATAAGCAATAAATGAAATACCCTAAAAAGAGAACGCAGTATATGTATTATATTTACTGCTTATACGTTTAGTAAATTTATTTAGCGGTATACATACTGTGTATGTATCCAGTAACCTTTTATTAGATTATCTGACCGAAATTAAACAGAGTATCTACACGTTTATAGTTGAATGTCAATATTTTTAATTATTTTATAATTAATTTAACATTTTATAATTCCATTAGGTACACATATTTCTATGAGTTAGTTCATAATTTTGATTTGTCGGATTTTTTTTTATATTTTTTTTATAATTATAAATACTATTGGTATTTAAATAGTATGTAATACATAGACTAAATTATGATCCATAAATCATATCAGCTTATACTTTGTTCGTTGATCACTAATATTTAGATTCCTCAAGATGAAACCATATTTAAAAAAGTGATTTTTTTAAATTAAATACATACATGCTAGGTCAAATTATGGTATCTATAATTTTTTGTTATGTTTTTTTTTAAAACAGAGAAAATATGTATGTGGTTGATACGACTCACTATTGCCTTTTTAATTGTATTTGTAATCATTATTAATTATTACAAATGCAGTGTCTACTTAATTTTACCAAAAAAGGTATACATATTTGATTTAATTAATTAAAATTACACAAAAAATAATTATCCAGAATGATTTCTGAGGTAAATAACTATAAATAATGATCGAATTATTGAATAATATTGTTAACAAGCAAAAGAGTGCGAAAATGAGAAAAACCGATTTCTTAGAAATCTAAGATTAAAAGAATAAAATAAAATAAATTTAATTTATTATTCATTTGAATTTCGAGTGTAATGTTTTTATTTATTTTCATTTAACTTAATTTTTTGCTTATCAATTTGGATCTTAAAATAAAATGTACGTGTTATCAACATATTTTTAATATGCTTTTATACATGGACTGTATATTTTATTATTAATGATATTATTGTTTTCATGATTCTGCATGTAAATTTTAAATAAAATAGCGCTTAAAGGATATATTTAATATAATTTATTAACAATAATTCTATCGTTTTCTATGTAAAACGATCATTTGTATGACTTTTTCTGTGTATTCCTTCATTTAATTTTTTGTATTCAGTCGGGTTTTATATTTTGTCCGTGATACACCAGATGATGAATTTTTAATTTGAAACCAGTCGTATAATATTAATGTAATAACTTGTTTTGTTTTTTATTTCTATCAATACAATTTTTATTCCTTTATTTGTATACATACATTTTTAATTTATACATTTATTTACGAGTATTTACCATTTTGAAAATTTTGCTTTTACTTTATTATATTATTATTTAAATTATTTGCATCAAATATTCACACTTCATTAATTACAATTGATTATAAATAATTTCTATACTAGTGAATTTAAGAAATTACTTAGCCCCTTTTTGATATCATAACTTTTTTAGCTTGATTTTATTTTTTCTTAGCGAAGTTTTTCCACGTAGTTGATGGAGGGTTTTTGTTAGTATATAATATACATATATGTATTCTGCCCCCTGCCAGTAAGGTCTGCGTACTTCTATGCTTGCAAAGAAATCGAAATTTTTGTTATCTTATCTGATTGATGATACAGAAAACACAATTGTGAAGTATTATAACATGCTGGTAATTTTTGCAGGGACTGGAACCTTTACGATTTTAAGGATTTCATTTTGGTTTCGGTTCTTAAAAAAAATATATTAAGGGTTCCGATCTTAAAAAGTTTTGATCGTTAGTCGGTGTTATTCGGTCTTGATTCTATACAACTTGATTCTATGACATTTTTAGTACTTATGTGTTTTCTTGTTAAGTTTTATCTTTTATATTTTACATTTTTACTTATCATACTCGCTTAAACACACACGTTATTAGAAATTCCCTAAAACATAATATGAGAATTTTGCCCTTAAAACACTGTTTTTATTATTTGGGAAAAAAGATAATTCGCCCAAATGCATGATGCCCTAAATAACTAGGAATGAGTTTGCATAAAATCACGTATAGACATTTAAAAAATAATGATTTGTATTTTGTGATGACTATTTAATTAATTTTCTATGTGTTTCAACTATTGTTCAAAAACCATTGCCAACTTTATTTTTAAATAACTAAAATATATTTAGGCAATATTGTAAAGGTCGAGTTTGGCTGGCTCAGGTCACGCCTGTATATTTGGAGTATTTAGATAAAATTGTAAAGGTCGAGTTTGGGTGACTCGGGTAACTCCCATTAATTTACCTATTTAGACCTATTTTTACCTAGTTAGACAGAGGATTATTTTTACTTCATTGAATAGTTTGCTTGTTATCTCCCTGGATAAGTGATATAAGTTATATAAGTATATAAGTTCCCCGTATAAGGAGAAAACAGGATTTCAAATATACAGGTGATTCAATAAGTGTGTTCACCCCATATTTTTGGTTAAATTTTACATTTATTCAAATTCTGATTTTTGAAATTTTTAGGTGTAATTAAAGGAATCTTATGAAAAAATGCCGTAAGTTTCCTTCAAACCATTTTGAGAAAAATGAATATTTATGCTTAGTAATTTTTGGTATTTTCATATATAAAATATTTTTTAAAGTAAAATACATAATTTCTTATAGATCTATTAATTTTATTTTCAATTTTTATTTCACCAGGATATTCTTGTTTTGATATTTATACTAAGCACGCTACTATTTATTTAGAATTGTTTATTAGGCAAAAATGCCGTTCTTCTTACAGAAATTTTACGTAGCACACCAAAACGTACTGATCACTAACGATTGAAGAAATAAAGCCATTTATTATCTATATTAATTTTTAGTTGTAATTAATTGTACGATTGGAAAGTTATTATAATGTCTTTATCTTGAAATCAAAATTAATTATAATATATAAATATTTTAATGTCATTTATTGAAACATTTTTAATTTAATAAAACTACTCATTATGCATATTTTATATTTATGTTATAATAATAATTCAAATTTAATAAACTATTGATTACATATTGTTATATTTTCTCGAAATTGTTTTCTATTATGTGAAAGAATTTTACTCAAATTCGAAAGAATAATGTCACGACGTTTTCTTTTAGTATTCCACAATTTTTTGCGAAGATGGCAGATGCACTCTTTTTTTATCATATACTTTTTTTTGGACAAAATCCAATGTTTTGTTTGTTTCTTCATTAAACTAACTTTTAGTAAATAACAGATATTTTCCACGTTCAGTTTTTATTGACACAAAACTATTTTTAGATTTTAATCGTTTCCGTTGTGCCTTATAATCTTTCCATTGAAAAAAAACATAATTACTCATTATTTTTTAAGTTAACATTTCTTTTATTGACTGCTTTATTAACATTTTCGAAATCGTAAACTTTCTTCTTATGTTTTTGAAGATAATTCCATTTAATGTCTGTAACTATTAGCCGACATAAAATCTTTTTTTGAAAAGTTGGAAAAACATACATATCATAGTGAATTCAATAAAAAGTAGAACCCTTCAAATTAAAAAAAAAAACTTCATTGTTAAATCAATACATTTTTCCTTCCACTCAGAATCTAAAACAATATCATTGCACTTTACTATTTTTTTATCACTGAGTATAATAAATTAAATTTGTATGTATTTCTGATGTTTGTATTTCTGATAAAATTATGTAAAAATTTGCAAACATGAAATGCTTATAAATAACTCAAACATTTTGAAAATGTATTGAAAATTTTACCACGTTT